TGTCACGCAACTAATTACCCGATATGAGCATCTACGCGTCGAACGCGCTTGCGTTCGAGCAGTCGAGATTTGTCGGATGAAAGGCGCGTTGAAGGGTGCCTGGATCGGATCGATGGAGTCGTCGATGCCCGATCGAGTCGAATCTAGTCGATTCCGGTGGAAGACCACGCATAGAAGACCGTGGAAAGAAAGAGATTAGAGGCTGGAGCGCCTTAACGCGGTGGCGATGAAGCAATTCTTGAGCAGGGCAAAAACGAGGGTCTGTTCACGCGCCGCGGCGCGCCGTCGTGATTGTCAGGCTGGAAGATTTACCGTCGACGGGATTTTTCTCGGCGTGCGAAATTCAAAAAGTTGGAGACGGTGGTACGGGATCGGAATCGAATCGTCTCGATGGATTTATTTCGCCAACAGGTGGATTAAATCGCTCCGCATCTTCGAGTGGCTGCCGTTGGAAATTACCTCGCGGAAAGAATTACGGGATAACGTTGCCCGGTAATTCCCGTCATCTTTATCTTCGACGGGGTAACGTTCCACGTTCACGCACACGTACATCCGGCACCGGGCAAAAGCGTGGCAAGAACCCCCGTGACTCGCAATTGCGCGTACTTTAACGTTCGCGTTATTGCTCGGACCGAGTTCGATCTCTGCATATCGAATACGCTTAATCGTCGCTGCTATTTACGTATGTAATTACATTTTATAATTCCTGTTACGTTAATTAAAATCGCCCCGTTATTTGATATTAAATTTTCCGCTTTGCGACACGTAAACGAATCAACGAGGACATTCGTTACGGCCGAGTGATTTTTCTCGTAAGTTTGATCGTCGTTCCCGGTGGATCGCGCCAGGTATCCCGTGGTGTTAATCGCACGCTCCGATTTTCCTCGTCCGATTAATTTCCATCTAACGGCGAGTGTCGTTCGCCGCCATTCGCGCGCGTGTCGACTGTTCGCTCTCGACGAATTCGCGCGAATTCGATCGAAGGTTGTGAAAATTGTCGGAAAGTTTCGCCGATAATTTCGCACGGGCGAGTTTCACTTTTGGCGGAATTAAAACGAGTCCTGGAACTCGGAACCCGTTCCGCCCATAGGTCCAACCACGGCGGTAGCCGGTCCGCCATCGGCCGTTTATATACAAGCACGGATCTATTATGCGCTTAAACTAAACGAAATTCACTCAACGACGCAGTTTCATCGTCGTAGAATCGCCCCGACTCTGCGATTTATAATAATTTATGCGCGATAAATAGTATACAATGTTGCGGAAACAGCAATTTCGCTCGTAGCTCTGTATCGCGTGCATGTTATACTTAACGCTACAAATTATATTCATCATCCGTCGACTGGCTATGAATTATTCGACGAAAACTATATTGCCTTAAATGACTGTCAATTATTCCTGATAACTGGTAACCGTTGTCGAATAGTGGTGCATAACGAATGGCTATAACGTTCTGGCTTGGTTAAACGAAATAAATACCCGTAAATTGCGCGAGTCGATGGAACGCAAAAACGTGAAGCACGCTTAATCGAAGGATCGATCGTACGTACGCGTAATTAGTCAAAGGAGTTGGCTCGGAACCATTTTCCGACGGATAATCGAGGAAAGGATGTCGGGGGGCAGAGATGGCCGGATATCGCGTCGACTCGGCCCGTTCTTCGTCGAATTAAATTCATCGAAGTCGGAGCACGGTTGGGAGAGACGCGAGTTGGCGAAGTTATCGGTAGAAGTGACGAAATATCGTTCCGTCGACAAGTTTCATCCTCGACTGCACGTCCGTCCCGGAAAACGTAGTTTCTGGAACAAATTTTTCACCGGTTACTCCGGGCTTGGTAAAATTTTCAACCACGCCCCCCTCCGGGTCGGCGTCGCGACTCTGAAAATATTCCATGTCCGCGTGAGCCATCGATTCGACGGTTCATGAACGAAAGAAACGCGAGATCGTGCTTCGAACGAAATTATTCCTCTACGGTAATTACGCGTGCCGGTGAAATTACGCGGAATGGAAATTGGAAAGCTGGATGGGAACGGGCGCGGGGTGGCGCGTAGTGGCGCGTAGTGGCGCGAGGCGGCGAGAGGAGGCGAGTGGCGGTGGACGCAGAGGTGTGGGAAGACGAGAAAGGGAAAAATTGAAAAATCTATGAATTGTTGAAAGTCGGCGATGCGAATTAAAGGATTTATTCACCTCGCGGGGAACGTTTACCGTGAGCAGGTCAGATTTAACGGGTATACGCAACGACGGGGTGGCAGGTTCGTTGAAAATAACACGAATACCCCGCAGCGTTCTGCGAGCGTCGTTTCCCATGACGATAACGATAATACCGTGCTCGCCACGCTACAAAGTATAACCTAATTATCTGTCCGACACGCCGGTTTCTCCGCACTGTACGCCTCCGTAATACGCAACTGCATTCAACGGTTGCCGGTCCGCTTGCATCTTCATTATAGCGGCGACTGCACGCCGCATTTGCTTACGCTTTGCTTGGCCCTGGCTAGCGACTGGATACGGCCCGCTGTCGTCTAACAACCATCGTCACGCCGTGGCCCGCCGCCGGTTCCCTATTCATCTCGCATTTCGAAAGCCTTCTTTACTGCCTCTGATATCTATTGGTTTTCGCATTATTCCGATACTTATTAGAGGGGTTGCAACGAGTCTCGGTAATAGGCTTTCCCTCGTTTCGCGGGTAATTCCGCTCCGAGTGGAAAGCGTCTCGCCAAGGAAATTGAAAGAGATTTAATTCTTGCCCTCCCCGTTATCCTATCCATCCGACTACCCCTCGCTCCCCACCTTTTTTCCCCCGTTTCTTCTCCTTTTTCTTCCCTTTTTCTCTCCCTTTTTCTCTCCCTTTTTCCATCGCCGATAGCCGACCGGTTTTCCGGGACGCGACGAAACGCGAGCAAGAGGGTATGGCCGATGGTCACGCTCTAACGCGCCGGGCAAATCTGTAAAGCGATTACTGGGAACGTTGGTAATGCTAATTGAATTTTTCCTGCAATTGGTTGTCGAGCGGCGGCAACTAATTCAGCGAAAATAGAATATCTGTCGCGATCGAGGACACGATTATCGCGACGTTGATGAAGTTTCGACCAATCGACCGCGTCTATGTCCGCTTCCACGTCGCTCCATCGTCGCTTCCAAATGTTCCGTCGATGGTAATGTGAATGTAAAGTAGCCGGTCGAGCGAGAAATCATCGGCAACTACCCTTTTTTCTCCCATCTTTTTCCATGTTTAACATCGTCTGGCCGGATAACGATGCATCCCATTTACGTATAAATCAACAATGCGCTTATAATTGCGTTTCATAATGCCCGGTATAAATTGCCGCGCTGCCACGGGTTGTCGGGTAATTGGGATCGAGACTGTGTTTGCGTACATTATAAATTGTAAATTTTATAACCTTTTTCTCCGTTCGCGCGTGTGTGTGCGTGCGCACGAGTATACTCGCGTACACCCACCCACTGGTAATTACGACCGAAATTATTGCGCCATGCATTCATGCAAGATTACACGTAGCTAACGAATAAACGAGTCGCGAAGCTCGTCAAAGCGAAACGACGACCGCTCGACGACCGATTCTCCTCGTTTTTCCGCGAAACTCTTTCCGAACGACGCGCAAGACTTCGTTACTCGGGCTCTCGTTCAGTTTCGCGCCGGTCGAGTCGTCTTTACTCGGACAGCAGCAAGAACGGAACGCATAATGCTGGAGTTACGTTCGGATTTGCTGTTTCAGCTGCTCGCGGTTGATCGCCTTTGGCGGATCTCCGTCGCGACGCCAGGGGGTTCGACTAAACGGCCCCTGTATTTGCTACGGAAGTCGTATCGCATCGCGATACAAGCCTTTCTTCACGCGGAATAGCCAGGAATACCGGTGTAATTTACAGATATCGTACATCGTCGTTATCTTCGGTTATCTCAGGTTATCTCTGGTTATCTCTGGTTATCTCTCGCGACGAGAATGCTCGATGCGCAACTCGAAAATCTCTCGTTCGAGTCACATCGGCGTGACCACGAGCAAAAGTTACGGTTTTTTACGAAATTGTTTATAGGGGCGCTGTCGGGGCAGCAGACGCGTTACGTTATTCGACGATATCGCATCGCGCCGATAGTCAAACGCGCGTTTTTTTTACCAACAGTCGATAGCGCGAAACATCCGGTATCAGTAGCGTTTTGCGTTTCGTTTAAAAACAGTTCGTTACGATCGGAACGGTGAAATGTGGTCGGATAGATAGATGAAACGGACACGCGAGGTATTAGGTAGAAATTTATTTGGCCGTTTAATAGCTACTGCGATACAACCTAGCATCTTTATACGCTATTTACACGATTGGACAAGCGTTTTCGGTTCCTTCGAAATCCTATCGATTCGTCGCAGATCCGCTCGGAGAACTGCAAAGCGTCTACACAGTACTAAATTTATCGTCGAAATTTCGGTTTGCATTTACCAGACCGTTGGAAAAGATATCTGTACACCTATACGAAGCGATAAGTTTCCGCTAAAGCGCCGATTATCGTAAAGACACGAGTTGAGGACCGCAGCCGCGCGATCGAAATACTTTTGCCCGTTGTTCGCTTACGTTTAAAGATAAAAAGAAACGAAGAAAACGAGGGAAAAAGAATAGGAAATGAAAAAAATGGCACGTAAATTACAGCGAGAGATGCAATACGCGATACGCAATAAATAATGCACTAAAATTTGCCGTTTAGTCGACGTTCTCGCCACGCTGCGTCGTATACGATCGTAAAGAACAGGTACAGGAATTCTGGAAACGGCGTGAAATCACCGGATGAAATTCACGGTGCGTCGCGTTGCTAATTCTTACGCCTTATCCAACTACTATCTTACGTCCTAAGGAAATAGGCACTTCCGCCCGATTTGTATATACATAGCACATCGCGAGAAGCGTATACTTATAATACATGAGGACGCGCGTGATCGTCGCGCGATTTTACTTCTAGCTGTACAACAGATGAAAGATAAAGCGTGGTAGCCGATGGACGTTAATCGTGCAAGTCGATCTCGACCCTCTGCTGCTGAAGATCCGACTCTGAAAGGAAACGGACAAACGTTAATGCTCCTTGTCGGACACTTGAAAATAATTATCGAAGATTCGGGCATTCGCGCGTTAAAACGTTCACGCTGATACTTATACCGTCGAAGAGAAGTTTACCGTTTCGATTTTCCTCCATGTACAAGCTCGCTCTTTGAGAACGCCTGCTATCACCCGAGTATCTGATCCTTGGCTCTATCCTTTGAGCGGAAACGTAGGTGGGGATGGTAAAATCGTCGGGACCGCCTTTGACGGAGGACGTGGTCCTTCTCCTGCAGATAGCCAGTCCGATAATCACCCCGATGCCGATCAGGATCAAAGCCACCGCACCTTCGATTCAAAATCTCGTTCGTTTTCGCTCGTCCAAGGATAGAGAGGTTAACGCGGCGTGGAACCCCCGCGACTGTACAAATTCCTCTACATTCGATTACCTGTACCTGTCAAGGAGATCACGATGATCAGATTCTCCGGGCTAGCCTTGGGCAGCGCCTTTTTCAGGTCCCCCAAGAACAGGCCGTTTTTCTCGCTCTTCTCGCCGATAACTCCGGCGACCCTGACGTGCTCGAGGAGCGCCGGTTCGCTCCTTCCTCTTCCGTTCACGGCGTACACGTACAGAGTGTAATCGAATCCGGGTTCAAGATCGTGCAGCTGGAAGCTTGGCCTTGGATTTCTCTCTTGATATATGGCCGGCACCTCGCCGACCGTTCCCTGATCACTCTGCGGCGCGTGCAGCGTGGGCGGATTCACCTGGATGACACCGGAGTTTCTCGGGATCCCTCGAACTTCGAGCAGAAAGTATTGCGGAGAACCACCGTCCGCGCCGGGGATGCAATTCACTTGCAGCGAGGTGCTTTCGTTGTGCAGCGAACAGTCGAACGGCGGCTGCGGTGGCTCTGCGAATCACGACGTTTCTTCCCTTAGAAACACAGCAGCTTCGCGTCAAAGATAATTTTCGAGACACCCGGTCGAAATAAGTCGAGCTCCCGTAAAAGCGCACTTTCATCGCGCGACTTTCAACCCGCAACGGTTTAAGAAAGCCACCCTCCCTCTCTACCGTACGACAATTCGAGGGGAAAAAGCAGAAAACGAGAAGAAAACATCAAAGTTTCGCCGGGATGTCTTCGCGGAATTCGTTCTAATTATCAATTTCCAAGGGCACGTACTTCCAGGCACGATGTTGAATATACAAGGCGTCCTTTGTCTGCCGACGCTGTTGCTCGCCCAGCAGGCGAGAGTTCCGAAGTCGGTGTCAGAGGTAGGAGTGTACTCCAGAACGCTAACGAGCCCGTTATTCTGAGCTCTGGAGTTTGGGATCGGCAACACGTCGCCGCGCGTCCCGTTGTACGTCCAAGAGAACCTTACCGCATCTTTGGGCACCGCATCGACCTTGCAGCGCAGCGACACCGTTTCGTGACGACCAGTGGTCACTTCGCGTCTCTCGTAGCCGGCTTTGCACCTCGGCACGTCTGTTCCAACAACCGTGTCTGTTTATAGAAAAACTCGCGAAAGGTAGTAGTAAACTATACTCACATTTCATGTGGACGAAGATGGGTGGACTGCGACCCTCTCCCACGGAATTGGTCGCCTCGCACGAGTACTCGCCGGTGTGAGCCAGAGTGAGCACCCTCAGCGTCAGCGTGTTCGAGGCTACCAAAGTTCCACCGGCCACGTCGTGCTCCAATCGATTGTCCTGAAACGTTACGAGTCTCTTACGATACGTTACGGGATCGAGTGAAGATCGTCGGTCTTACCTTGTGATACCAGATGATTCTAGTCGGAGGCGGGTGACTCTCCACGTCGCACACCAGCTTCAGGTCGTCCCCTTCTCTGAGGGTATCCAGGACGTAACCGGTGGCCAGGTCGATGGAGACGATCGGGGCGTCTAAAATGGTTAAAAGTCAAATAAGACGCTTGTTACGAAGGTGTACGTTCCGTGTCGCGGCGTTTCGAGACACGAGGTCACGCCGGAGAGAATCCGGCGAGGTCCGATAGACGTAAAACTTACAGGCAACGTTCAAGACCACGGTTTCCTCGAGAACTCCGCCGGGAAATCTAGGATTTTCGGCTCTGCAGGTTAATTTCTTGCCGTTGTCGTCCTTGCCGAGGGCCAGAGCCAGTTTGCTGACCGTGGAATTGCTTCTCTGCGTAGTCGACACGTTGGGATCGCCTATCGCCTGCCCACCTAGCTTCCAGACGATCCGGGCTGCAGGAGAGCTTCCCCAGGTCTCGCAGCGCGCCGCGATCGGACGACCGGCGTAGATCTGATCGTCGTTCAGGATGATCTTCACGATCGCCGGTTTCACTGGGAAACGATATCGAGAGAATTACGTCTCTTCCTACGCCTCTCGCGTCGCACGGATGCTAACGAGATGCCCTGATGGAACGAAACGGCAGCCGTGGTATTCCATGACGCGAGCTCCGACGAGTTTTTACCCGCATTCCTTTTCTCCATGGACACCGCCTCGGCGATTCAGCCGTCGAATTCAAGGATTCGGGAACGGATGGAAAAAATTTCCGAGAGGACATGCCCTACGGAGTCGACGGGGTTTGAGCAGCCGGCGAAAATAACGGGTCGAGGGAGCCACGTGCTCGCCACCCGAACCGCGTATTTTTACTTTCGACGACAATTCCGCGAAATGCGACCGTCAAAGGAGTTAAGGAGGTCCGCGCGAAATCGTTGGAATTCATCTCGCTTCCGCCGCGGGTCACTAGCTCGTACTATATTTAAATTTCTTTCTTCCTCGACGAGCGTGCAGCAGGACATTCGGATGAATAAGAGCGATATTTCTTGCCTTGCCAGGATGTCCGGCGTTTTTGTCGCAACGAAGGAAGCCATCGGCGTGCGGCTCGAATACCGAACAGACTCGTTCTGGCTAGAAATTTGTACGCCTCGCGAGAAATACGACCGGCTTACGTAACGTTCCGAAGCCACACGCGGTCGTATAAACGTAGGCGATCTGGATCGCAAAGAAGTCTCGGTGGTCGAGCAAGCTACCGTCCAACTATATCTACGCGGTGGAAATAAAAGCCCGGGAAGAGAAGCACGCGAATCGGAACTTGTCCCTTAACCCGTTCGCCGTTGCTTTTAGCACGCGTTAAGATTCAAAGAAGCGACCTTGAGCAGCGCGCGCTTTCTATTTTGTTCTCACCAGATGTTACGCTCGCGCGCCACTCGCGATCGGCTTCTTTGAAAGGTTTCGTTGGTTTCGTTGCGCGTCGAAGACGAGGTTGGAACGAAACGCCGTGGTTGAAACGGGCGATCCAGCGGCGAGAGAGATAGACAAAATGGCCATACTCACGGTAAATATCTAGAGGCACTTCGCGGACGATCGGCGAGGACATCGGCGCCGACATTGCCCTGCACTCGAGCTTCGTGCCCCACAACGACCTCGTCACCTTGTCGATGAACAGGTGGTTCACCGTGAATTTGCTCGGAGAACCGACGGAAATGGTGTCGACGACGCCGTCCAATATCTTCCCGTCCTTCCACCACGTTACCACGGGCTTCGGTCTCCCTGAGATAAGCAACGACGTTATTAGGGGGACTGTCCTTGATCCCGGCTAGTCGATAGCCCGAAAAGACCGAAAGAGAATTTACCCCCGGACACCTGACAGGTCAAGGCGAGATTGTAACCTTCCAAGAAGGGTCCACCAACTCCTGTCACCTCTCGTCCCTGAGCGTCGTATATCACGGGTCTGGATGGCTTCTCTGTAAAAGGGAAAACAACGCCGGCTCTTTATGGTCGAGTGATCGTCGAGAGAAAGGACGAAAGGATGAAACGCTGGTCTAGCAAACGATACTCACCGACGAGCGTGAGGTTCACGCGAAAGTTTCTGGTCGGGGAATCGATAAAGTCCACCCTGCACCTGAAGATTCCTTGGTCCTTGAAGGTGACCTTGGTAACTTTCAACTTTGCTCGGTGGCCATCACCGATCTGAAAGTAGGTCCTCTTTCCGAGATCGTCGCTGACCGCCCAGTGAATGGCGGACCCGAGATCCGTGCTTCTCGCGTCCAAGCTGCAGAAACGAGAATTTGTTTCCTTTCCGAGGGATCTCAAGATCAACGTAGCGGGGTTACCCGGTTACCCGAAGCATCCTGTCGATCAGCTTCTGGGCCGAAATTCTTGGCTCGATCGACGAGTCAACGATCGAAAGGGTTGACGTTTCCGGGAGTAAAAGGAGCTGGTAAACACCGGACCGGCACCCCCCGCTGGCCAGCTTTAGTGACTAACTCTAGCACGCGCTTCTATTTGCGGAGAAAAAAAGGATAGTTGGCAAGCGCGCGGTGGGCGAATTTAGATTCGCTGCGAACGGTTGACCGTTACGCAATGTCGAGGAGGAAATCGCAGCGGGAACGCGATGGAAGCGGAATCGATTCGCGGTCGATTCCCTTAAAACTACGCTGCCAGTTGTAAGCGTCTCGGTCAATTCGGTCCCGTCGTCGCTGCAGCGTCTCCCTCGCGTTCTTCCCGCGAGTTTCCATTTCTTCTTGCACGTTACATCTCGTGGGGAGCAAAAGCGGAGAAAAAAGGCGGAAAAAAAGAGCGAGGGGAAAAAAGGCCGAAAAGAAAGCACGACGAGGGGGAACTCCGTGGGTGCGAATAACCAAACTCGTAAAATCTCGGAGCCACCTGCTTTGCGTTCGTCTCGCCTTGACGAGCCCTCTTTCCCGTGTATTTTTTTACGATCGCCCTTTTCACGCGGAACAGACCTAGCCGCAAAAGGGCTTTAGTTCCTCGACTCCCACGTGTTTGCTCCTTTTCTAGGAAAATCCTCTATCTCGTAATGGTCCGTACAGCGATGCCCGTCTCGCGATTAATGGCCCACCGACACTGAAACCGAATGCTCCGTTTTACGGGCAAACTTACAACTCTCGTTCGCAAATAAACCAAGTGCAATGCGCCGTTTACGTGTATTTGTCAGCGCGAAATGACGATCGGCCACTCTATTTCTGAAACTTGGGCGGTATCGAGAAATTCCGCCGGCCGATGCCTCAAAGGTCTTCCGGTTTATTTGCGTTACGCGATCTACCTCAATTCTACTTTCGTCCGCACGCCGCGGTGGATCGTCGGTGGAAGAGGGGAACTGGAAAAGCGCGATATCTTTAATTAATCGGTCGGCCGCTAGTCAAAGCGAGGGAAGATCACCGCGTGATAAGGATCGCGGTTTATTTGTAGCAACAACCGCGGTGGCCCGAGTGCTCGATAGAGGAAGAAGAGTACGCAGAGGTAGTGCCGGTACAGAGGAAGCCTGCTTCGGAGGCTTGGCTTGAGATATTTCGAGATGGGATCTCAGAACAATGGCATCTACGAATATTAACCCTTTCGCTACGAGCGCTCTGTCCGTCGTCAGACTGCCGCTGTACGAGGCGCTCGTACACACGGGTCATCGTATGAATGCGCTGGATAGATCCGGCGCTCGTGTACCGAAAGGGTTAAGCGTCGTTGACAGAGATTCTTCTTCGCGGATCGATCGGCGAAATAGGTGTTTACCTCGTGAAACAAAGCCGAGTCGAATCGATCGCCATTGTCCGTCTGTTTATCGCGGAAATGCGCGCGAGCTTTCGAAAGGGAAACGCAGAGTTGGGAAACGGTCACTTGCCGGCAAAGGTCGGTTACACGAAAGAGAGAGGGAAGAAAGGAGAGTTACCTGTAAAGAGGAATCCCTGCAGTGTCTTTGAACCAAAGCACCATGTTGACGGAGTCGTTGGGTGTCGGTGGAGTAAGGTCGCATGGTAATTCGACGTCCTCGCCCTCGCTGGCCCACACCAACCTGAGCGGCGCTGTAAGAGCGTAAGTCGTAGACCCTTAAAAAGAGGCGCACAAAAGGATAGGCATCGTTATTAAGATGTTAGTAGCGGAGCGAACGTGGCAAGCCTCTGGCAGAGAGATTCACGGGGCAAAGGAAAGAGGCCGGGACCACCCCTTTTCGTCGCATTCTGGTCGGCCGTTCGTTAAGGGTGACACGAAGCGGCGAAGAAAGTGGCGCTAATGAAGCGATTCCCTGGCAGCCCAACCGTCGTCGTGCGCACGCTTGCCCGCGTGTATTCCCTGCCACGTCGCTCGTGCGCGGGCACAATGCTCGCACCACGTACACAGGTACACCGCGCCGAGATCGTTTTTGGCTCGCTATTGTGCTCATTACGCCACGAGGTTCGTTGTTTTCGCCTATTCTAGGAAACCATCCGGTACACGCGTTCGCGGGAACGTTTCCGTTAAAATAGGATTTAACCGCGTCGAGTTCGGATAACAGACTTCCCTTTAAATCCTATAAACCGATTCCGTACTTCACGGCAATCCTCCAACTTCTCCCATCATATCGATGTTACACGCTCCATTTTCTTGATCTCGCAATTATCTCACGGAGAACGAGACAAGGTTCCAATTGTACGCGATGGAAGTGCGAGGTGAGAGAGGCGTGCGAGGAGCTCAGGGCCGAGAGATAACTGCCAAGAGAGAGAGAGAGAGAGAGAGAGAACGCGCGAGTTATCAATGGCATACCGCGGTGTACATTAACACCGGTTCTCACGCACGTGCGCGGTCGCGTTATATCGTTTCTATTTTCTCCGTGGGTGGAACTTCGTAACATCGCAACGATTCTAAGTTTAAATCGCGACCGATGCGAGCAGAAAATCACGGACGATGATGCACCGGCTCCGATACCGACGCGCTCACGGCGATCCTCTCCGCTTCTGGCAGAGGCGGTTCGCGCGCAAGCGAATTCGCGGAGATGGCAAAAGGTAAGACGAGGATCGACGCGATAAACGAGTCGACTAGTGACAGCGCGGCCCATTCTCTTT